CAAGAAAGGAGCTGAAGATAGAAGTTTTGAATTAGCATTGCCTTTAGATCATTTCAGGTTTGATGTCTCTGCTCCCCCTCTTCAGTCTTTGGCACCCAGAAACCTCACCTGCTTTTCCTTCCTTTCCTCACAGAACCTAAATGATGGGAAGAAAGGCAGCAGAAAGGCCCTAGGCCTGCATGAATCAGCCGGGTTCTGGCACCTGGAGGGCCATGGAGTCGTTCCCCATAAAGAACCAAGCTGGGAAGTGAGCCTGCAATTCTCAGTCAACAGTGTTCCTTGACAGTCAAGGCTGTGTCTGTCACTGTTTGGAGATGACTACATCTAAAGCAGAGATCAAGCTGGGTCTTAAACTCAGACCTGGGTGCAATGATCTCCTGGGCCCGTGGACAGAGGTATGGGTGGATGCCCCAGGTGATGCTGCTCAGGGCCATGAAGGCTGATGGATGCTCTCAGGGCTCTGACTCTGCGCCCCACCTGCCTGTTCCCTCAGTAGGTCAAGGTCTCATTCCACGAATTCCAGGGTCTGCTCTCTGTTAGTCTTTTTCCCCATGTCCCTAGGGGGATCACAATTTCACAGCAGCCAAGGCTGCTTCACATCCCTGACCAGCTCTTTCAAGTTTCAGAGTCACCAGGTCCAAGTGACAAAACAACTGGGTGGCCCATTTAGCAGCGGTGCTCAAGAGTTGTACACAAACCATGAGAGAAACCTCCTGGATTGTTTGCATCTTGCTGTGTTACTCAGACCTTGAATAGCAGGGAGAGTCCACCGTAAGAGCCAAGGTCTGTGATCCACAGATTTCCTCTGGTCATTTAAATAACGTTTAGTTCATTCCTCACCCTGACTGTATGACCTGTAACTGTGTCCTGGGATGGAGTTAATTCCCTTCATAGCAGCACATAGGGTGATCTGCTGTGGACTGTTACTAAACCAGCACCGATAACGCGCCAGTGTTCTGGCTATTGTTGAGCAGTCCTTGCAGAGCATGGAGGATTTCTCCTTCTCACACTCTGCCCCCACTGCAAGTAGGCTGGGGGTAGGCAAGATGCTGGCAGAGGCGCACATGGGAAAGCTGACCCCAGCTGACCAAAAGCAGTGTTCCATTCCATATATTGTCACACTTCATAAAAACACCGCAAGGAAAGGTGGAGGAAGGGGGGACATTGGTGGTCATGGCATTTGTCATCCCAGGTAACAGATACACAGGATGCTTTCCTGGCAACAGCTCAACATCTGCCTGCCGATGGGAAGCAGTGAATCCATTCCTCATTTTGCTTTCCTTGCACACACAGCTTTTGCTTGACCTATTAAACTGTCTTTGTCTTGACCCATGAGTTTTCTCACTTTTGCACTTGTAACTCTATCCCCTGGGGTTGTAGTGGGGGAGTGAGCAAGTGACTCTGGGTGTTTCATTGCTGGCCAGATACAAACCACAACTCACTCCTATGCCAGTGTCAGCCTCTCTGGCCTCTCCTCTGAGCCACATGCAAGCTCTCACCTAGCCTGTTGCCTGTCCCATAGAGGAGCTCCATATATCTGAACTGCCCTGACATCACACCGGGTATCCCCCACTTCTCCTCTGTTGGTCTCTCCTCATGACGCTGTATCTCCATCCACCACAAAAGCCGTGGGAGCTGTCCTTCTGCCCCTCAGCTCTTACATCAGTGATGTCACAGCTCTGTGATAGAAGACAGGGCTCCTGCTGTCTGTGCCCCAGGCTGTGGACTTTGGTGCCCATTTGGGCTGCAGCACCTCAGCTGTGGCACCAGGGCCAAGGGCAGATTTGTCACATGGAAGACTGGTACCGAGCGACTGGACCCCTTGTGCGGAAAGGCTTTGCTTGCCAGCAGAGGCATGCTGGAGTGGATGGCAGGTGGCAACATCATCATGGATGAGGCTCCCACAACGAGAGCAAAACCTGAAGTCCCCAAGGCCAGAGAGAAACAGCCCTGGGCTGTGCAGCCCTGGCACGAGAGGGCTTTGCTGTCCCAGGGAACTCTGCAGCACCGTAGGGCCTGTGCCAGAGGTGGAGCTGATCTCCAAGAAGGACAAGGTGCTGCTGAGAAAGTCCCTGGGGGAGGACAGCCTGTGATCTATCCATACTGTGGACATCATGCTGGGTGCTGACTGGTTGGATAGCAGCTGTGCAGAGAGGGACTGTGGGGTCCCAGTGAACAAGTGGACAAGCAGGATCCAGAATTGCACTCTCACGGCAAAGGCCAATGGCCTCCTGGGCTGCATGAGGAAAAGCATTGCTTGCAGATGGAGGGAGGTACCCTTCCCATCGTCTCAGCACTGGTGAGGCCACATCTGGAGTGGCATGTCTAGTACTTGGATCCTTAGTACAAGAAAGTTGTTGACCTAATAAAGCAAGTCCAGCAACGGGCCACAAAGCTGTTTTAAGAGAGTGCAATATGTTTTGTAGAAGGAAAGGCTGAGAGCTGTGGGGCTGTTCAGTCTGGAGAAGAAAAGGCTGCTCAGAGGGATCTTCTGAATGTGTCTAAATAGCTGACAGGAGAGCATGAAGACCAGGGAGCCAAACTCTTCTCAGTAGTTCCCAGTCAGAAGACAAGGGATGATGGACACAGCTAAAACTCCATGGAATTCTGCCTGAAACTAAGAAAACACTCTTTGACTGTGAGGGTGATCAGAGAGGTTGTGGAGTCTCCATCAATAGAAACATTCCAAACACACCTAGACAAGGTGCTGAGCAACCTGCTCCAGCCAACCCTGCCTCAGCTGGGCTGTTGGACTAGACAAACTCCAGAGGTCCTTTCCAAACCCAATGTTTTTCTCATTCTGTGAGTATGAAGGAGAAAAGTAAGAAAGGAAGAAATGAACAACACATAGCATTGAGCAGAAATCTGGTGGGAACTTATGGAGAGGGCCCAAGCTGGAGCAGGGGAGAAGTATGAGGAAGAACGAGCAGCAGAGATGTTCTGTATGGACTGTTAGCCCTCTCTTCACTATCCCCCTGGTCGTCTTGCGGTTGGGTTGCATAGATTAAATGGAACAATGAAGTCATTTGAGCCTGGGAGAACGTGTGAGCAAAATGGTCTTTTTTGTCATTGTTTTTCACAATCCAAATCTTTTTATAATTGGCAAACAATTAATTTGATCTTCCCCAAGTCAACCGTCTTTGCCCATGACAGTAATTGGTACCTGATCTCTTTTAATTTATCTTGACTGATGAGCTATTCCATCTTATTTTCTCCCTTTAACCAGTTGTGTCAGGGTGACTGAGCAGCTGGGTGGGTGTCTGGCTGCTGGACAAGGCCAACCTGCTACAGAACCACCACATCAGGACTGCTGCATCCAGTATGGGGTTTCCCAGCACAAGCAAGACCCTGACAGGCTGGAGTGAGTCCTGCAGAGGCCAGAATGATGGTTGTGTTCTGGAGCACATTGTGGACAAGGAAAGGGTGAGAGAGCTGGGTTCTTGAGAAATCCCTCAGAGTCAAAGACAGGAGCAAGGACCCAGGCCAGTTGGTGGGATCTTAGTCAATGGAGATTTTCAATATTTGTTGAGACTACGCCATGAGCGCCTGATCTACCTGGAGGTGTCTGAGAAAGGGCTTGGCTGAGACCAGCTGTGGCAAGAGCTATCATAGAATAATCGAGGTTGGAAAAGACCCTTAAGTTATCAAGTCCAGCCATTAACCTAACACTGCCAAGTCTACCACTAAACTATGTCCCTAAGCACATCTAAATGACTTTTAAATACCTCTAAGGTTCTGTAGTGAGTGTCAGGAAAAAACTCTTATTTTTTATTAACACTGTCACTGGAGTTGGGTGTCACCAAATCCCAGAAGAGAACTGGGGTGACCATGCAGCAAAGTTCCCTCCTCAGAGCTGTGGTGTCTGGCCAGACATGGGCATGGCAGTTTGTAGGTCTGGTCTGGAAAATTTTGCCGAGGCCGTTTCCACAGCATGTACAAGGTACATGGCAGAAACCAGGGACCTTTCTACTGGACATTTTGTACCTTGCTTCCTTCACCATGATGCCTGGCTCTGAAACCTTCTGTGTGCACTCACCCTGCACACACACACACAGAGCTTGGCTCTACACTGACTTTTTTCTTGGCCAGGGTCATCATAGCCCAGTCTCTCCCCAGCTCTCCTCAACTCCCCTGCCCTTTCCCCAGCCGAACAGAGCAGCCCAGGCTGGGCTGGTCCCCTGAAACTGCCCACCACAGAGTGCAGCAGAGCTCTGGGCACTCACCTCACAGCCCCAGACCCTCTGAAGGGCACAGCAGGTCGTGAGGAACAAAGAGGGGGATTCACACTTCCCATCAGCCCCAGGGATGGTGCTGGCTCAAGGGAATGAGCAAACAGAGGCTACTCACTCCCTGGCTCTCCCAAATTTATATTGTAGATGATGCCCAAACCTGACTGAACTTGCCCTCCTCCTCTGCTCCCACCAGCCCCACTCCCCACGACAGCACAAATGTCCTGGACCTGGTCCTCAGGCAGCTCCTGCATCTCTCCAGTCTCACCTCCCTAAGCGTGCTGGGTTCTCACTGACTCCGAGAGTCCACGTTCATGGAGACATCGATTTAGTGCTTTACTTCTGAGAGACATAACTTCTGAGGGTGATTCACCTCTGAGCCTCCGTTCATTCCAACCCTAGGGCACATGGGGAGTCCCCATCCTCTCCTCTCCTTAACCCTCCAAATTCATGTCCAGAGAGTCGGTCTATACCATCAATCCTGCCATGCATGAAGAAACCTGAAAATATAATGGGAGGTAAAGGACCATCTGCCCTGCCATTGGACACCAAGAGGAGAGCTCTTAAATCCAAGGGTACAATGAGCTTAACTCCCAAAAAACTGTGAACAAAAGAACCGAGTTGCTCAAGAGTGAGATATAACACAATCAAGAATTGAGACAAGTAGTATAAACTCAGGAAATTATCTATGAGCAGGATTATCACAAGAGAACAAAGAACACTCATGAACTAAGATAAATTCTGGGAAAGATGCAGAGAAGGGGAAGCAGATTATTGTTGATGAAACAGCACCCAATGGGTTAATTTACATAGGGCATCTTTGAGCTCCTGGTTCCTCATGCTGTAGATGAGAGGGTTCAATGCTGGAGGAACCACCGAGTACAGCACTGCCACGACCAGATCCAGGGATGGGGAGGAGACAGAGGGGGGCTTCAGGTGGGAAAATACTGCAGTGCTAACAAACAGGGAGACCACAGCCAGGTGAGGGAGGCACGTGGAAAAGGCTCTGTGCCGTCCCTGCTGAGAGGGGATCCTCAGCACAGCCCTGAAGATCTGCACATAGGACACCACAATGAAAACAAAACACCCGAAGCCTAAACAGGCACTGACCACAATAAGCCCAACCTCCCTCAGGTAGGCATCTGAGCATGAAAGCTTGAGGATCTGGGGGATTTCACAGAAGAACTGGTCCACGGCATTGCCCTTGCAGAGTGGGAGTGAAAATGTATTGGCCGTGTGCAGGACAGCGAAAAGAGCTGGGCAGCACATCCATGGTAGGAGATGGCCCTGGTGTCCCAGAAGGAATTGGCCATGGATTTGGGGAGAGTGGTGGAGATGGAGGCCAGGTCAAGGAGGGCGAGGTTGAGAAGGAAGAAGTACATGGGTGTGTGGAGGCGGTGGTCGCAGGCTATGGCGGTGACGATGAGGCCGTTGCCCAGGAGGGCAGCCAGGTAGATGTCCAGGAAGAGCCAGAAGTGCAAGAGCTGAAGCTCCCTTGTGTCTGTGAATTCCAGGAGGAGGAACTGGGTGATAGAGCTGCTGTTGGACATTAGCTTCCTCTGTGCATGGGGACCTGTCCGAGGAGGAAAAGACAGTGAATTAGCAGAGACTTCTCTAAGCAAAATCAAAGCCATTTCCCTTAGACTCTGCTCCTTCTGCACACACCCGCCTTTCATTTTCCAGGATACCTTCATCAGCACTGTTGCTGAAGGTCTGTTTGCTGCCAACTGAATGTGCTGTGAGAAGGACCGTCTCTGTGTGCTCGCTGCTGAGGAGCCAGCCCTGCTCTGCAACAGTAGGTTCATGGGAGCACTGGGGGAAGAGGCCAGTCCTGGTATTCAACTTTGTCAGATGAAACCCCTCCTGACATAGAAGGGCCTGTCAGCATCCGCACTCCCAGTGCTAAGGAACTGCCATAGCAGAAGGCAGTTTGAGAGCTTTAGGGTTCTTTACAGCTCTGACCATCGCACCTGTGCATTGTTCTAGGATGTCAGAAGGCCTCAGAATTTCTCTTGCAGCCAGGGAGATGCATGTCTCACATCATGAGCCCTGCAAGGCAAGAGGGTTGCCTGTGGCTCAGTGAAGAGTGAGAGGAGCTGGTCACTCCCTCCACCTAGTTCCCAGCTGCCTTGGGCTTCAACCTTCACGAGATTGAGGGCAATCACACTCATTTTATGTCATGCAACCAGACACTGCTGAGAGCAGAAGCATCCACTGCAGACCACTCACTGTCTCACCCTTTCTCAAGGTCTCAGCAGCCCATTTCTAGCCCAGGACACTCATGGCTCATTTCACCAATCCCAAAGCATTTCCTCAGCCACCGAGTCTCTGCGTTTCTCTGTGGGGCTTTCAGACAACACAAAGGTGCTATGGGACAGGTTTGCATGCTGGAAGGCAGCTCAGCTTGGAAGGACACCCTAAGGGGACAGCCAAGTGTCCTAATGTTGGCATTGCAGTAAGAGAAAATTGACTCAATCCCCAGCCCCACAGACTGAATTGCCCACAGCCCCACAGACAAGAGGAAAGCTGGGACACTAGTTCCCATCCACATGCCCACATGAATGGACAAAGAAGACCAGTGTGTGACTCTGCAGCTGAATATTCCATCCCCAGGGAGTCTGACAGCAAGAAAAAGATAACTTTGAAATGGGCAAGTGGAGAAACAAGGAAAAATACAGTGAGGGTCAGGCTGAGAGAGGCAAGGGCAGAGGCACCCGGGCACTCAGGACAGCGTTACCCTTACCCAGCTGTTTACACCACCTCCCAGACAGTGATAAAGCTGGACAGCTGCCCTCAGCCCCATTGCTGGTCAGTGGGAAATGGGCATGTGGATGGAGGGACACCCTTCACCACTTCTGCTGCTCTGCTGGGCAGAGAGGTGACTCCCACTCTAGACCCCATGGCTGTGAAAGGCCAAGGGCTGTGCTGGGTGGGAGAGGAGAGATGAAGGGGGTTGCTCAGGGAAGGCATCTGCACTGCAGGGGTGGCCGGGAGGTGCCCCGATCTGCCCTGCAACAGGGCTTCCATCAGCAGTTCCTTCCTATCCTGCCCACCTCCACTGCCTGGAGCTGTCCCTGCCACGAGCTGTTGCTCTGGCCCCATGTCTCCTCCATGCCAGCGCTCACAGACACCATCTCAGCCCCTGTGCACCCAGCTCTGCCCTGCAACCTCTCAGTGTGTGCATCAGCTAAAGAGCAGGTCCCGCAAATCCTGATGAGACTGGAAAGGGTATGCTGGTGCTATGTGTAGCCCCCAGAGCTGCCAACTGAAAACAGAGACTCAGGAAAGCTCATGATCCATACAGTCGTCCCTACTTTGACCTTCCAAGTCCCCTTGGAAATGTCCCACTGCCCACCCAGCCAACCAAGATGAGAAACCTCAACAGACAGACATATTCCGTTAAGGGAACTCTAGTTTGAAATGTTCCCTCAGAAATGCCTGGGGTTGAGCTGGAGCTGTGAGCAAATCTGACCCATGCAGAACCCTCTTGAGAGCAGAAAGACCCAGCCCTGCCGGGGGTCAATTCTTCCACCCAGGGCTTATCCTTAGACTGCTGTGAGGAGCTCCCTGGGAAGGCTGAGTGCTGACCCTGGAAGGTGGCAGAGTCCTTACCCCAGCACACAGCCCCCTGGGGGGCAGGGACACGGCTGGGAAGGACAGCCCTGGGCACCCCAGCCTGCACACCCACCTTCACAGCCCTTTGGCCTCTCCTGGAAGAAGGCAGCAGTCATGCCCTGCGCCTCTGACAGTGCAGCAGGGAAGCCCTGCTTTGGAGCACATCCTTCTCCTCCACACCACTGAAGTTGTGAGAGTCGTCCTGAAAGATCTCATAGGCTGTGGGATGTGCCAGCTTTTGGAGCTTCCTCCAGGAACTGCACCTGCATTGCTTTGCCGCCAGAGACCTACCATGTCAAGGGCTGTGAGGAGTTCTGTCCCCGTTTATTCTCAGCACTCTCCCACCACAGACTGCCTTTACCCTCTCTCTGCCTCGCTCTTCTCCCCTCGGTGCCTGCAGGCAGTGCCCTCAGCCCTGCTGCGCTTTGCAGAGGAGCTGCTCCTGGGCAGAGCTGGTCTCTGCAGCCGCTGCCTACTCTACATGAGCTCCCTCCATCCCAGGAGCCCAGCCCAGCTCAGCAGCAGAGGACCAGCCCCAGGAAGCACTGCCTCTGTCTCCTACCCCCACCCCTTGCCCCCAGATCCCTTGGGGTGTCCCTGACACTTCAGGGCCAACAGCTCCTGAAAGGCAGCAGGGTGTCTCCTGGGGAACACAATCTGAAGCAGACTGAAGTCATCACTGACTGTCCCTTTCTAATCACTGGGCAGACTGATTCCTGCGGTGAGAATTGCTCTGCAGGAGGTGTCAGTGTTCCCCTCTGGAAACCCCCGTTCCTGTGCCATTGTCAGGCAGGGCATGCAGGCAGTGACAGGCAGGGGATCACAGTCACCCGTGCAGGGCAGGGATTGAGCCAAGCAAATGTAGGCATCTCCGCTCTCTTCAGTATGCCTGAAGCCAGAGGGGCATTCACCTTCCCCAGTGCTCCCCACAGGACCACAGAGGGGGATCTCTCTTGCCTCAGCTCAGCTGCACAAACCAGGAGTGAGCTCCTTAGCTAAGCTGCTGGGTTAGTAATGGAGATAGAGGCCAGGCCTGAGCTTTTCTGATGCAAACACCTGGTGACCTTTGAGGTTCCAGAGGTGGCTCAGGACATGCGCAGGGAAATGCAAACTCTAATGGTGCAATTGTTAGAGAGAGGGCAGCATCTGGCGGCATCATCTTGGCGGCTGGTGGGGAACCCCTTTGGCCAACGGAAGTGATAGAAAATGATGACATTTAGGGCAACCCAACCTGTCCCTCCTCAGTGTGTTTAGGGCAGCAGATAGAGGTATGCATCTGACTCAATGGAGCCATGTGCCATAGGGGAGCTCAGTCTGTCTGTCTCTTCTCCATCAGTTGCATTTCCTGTATCTCCACTAAGTGTAACTGAAGGTTTCGCATGGACATCCCTACATTGCCTAAGCTGTTCCAGGGCAGCTGCTCCACTAATGGTCCAACGCAGGCCTGTCGTCCTACGGCAGATGCCAAAGCTGCCCAGCACAACCAGAGCATACAGCTGGCTGGGCAGTGCAGGACCTACAGGACAGCTATCCCCATCCCAACCTGGTCCATAAGAGGTAGAGCAGGGCATCTCAGATAGATTTGGTGTGTATGAGCAAGTTTGATGATACAATCAAGGGACAGGTGATTGATTTCCAGTCTACCTGGATCACAGAATGTCCGCAGTCAAGGGCTTTCTAAGCAGCACCTTGTCCTTCCTGGAGATCAGCTTGACCTCCACCACAGGTCCTCATGGACAGAAGAGACACCACAGAGAGCAAAGCTCTCTCCTGTCAGGGCTAGAAAGCCCAGCCCTATTTGTCTCTTGCCTTGGAGAGCACAGGGTTTGCTTGCCCTGTGGGCCCCTCATTCCATCTTTACATTGCCATCTGCCATCCATTCCAGCACGTCTCTGCTCTGAAGCAAAGCCTTTGCTTGCGCAGGATGTTGGGCACAAAATCTGTGACAAGTTTGAGCTTGGCACTTGCACCACAGCTGAGGTGCTGCAGCTCCAACGTACATCAGTGCCCTCAGCCTGGGCACAGATAGGAGGAGCTGGAGCCCTGTGTGCTGTCCCAGAGAAAGTCAGAGGTGCTGTGGTGGATGGAGAAAGGCTCTTCAGAAGAGAGAGCTGGGGAAGATAGGAGAGTCATGCTCCTGGTGTGAGGAAAATGCCTGGACTTATGGAGGTCCTCTATGGGATGGGAATCAGATTGGGTGAACCTTTTTGGGTGAGGGTTGTGGTTAAACCCCAGCTGCTATCTAAGCACCATGCAGCCGCACGATCACTCTCCCCCCAGGCTCTGCTGAGACTGTGAAGAGAATTGGAAAAAAGAAAAGGGAAGCCCATCAGTTGAGATAAATACATTTAGATAATGTAGCAGAGGAAAAAAAAAAAAAAAAAGAATAGACAAAAGAAGTTTTGCTCAGTGCAACTGCTGACCACTGCTGCTGATGCCCACCCCAGCCCAGAGCAGTGATTACTGCTGCCCAGCACACTCCCCCCAGTTTCTATACTGGCAAGATATCATATGGCATGGAATATCCCTTTGGCCAGTTTGGGTCAGCTGTCCTGGCTGTGCCCCCTCACAGCTTCTTGTGCACCTGGCAGAGCAGGGGAAGCTGAAAAG